TCGTTGTCCAGCTTACTGTACTGTTTCTGCGGCAACCACTTGTATCTGATCAACCTTCTAGTGGGAAGGGAGAGCTGAGTTAGATGTGTAAACGGCAAAATTAGCCCACTGATTTCATGGATTTTAGCAAACACTTCGACTAAATGCTTCATGCAAGACTGATCGAGAAACCGAAGAGCTCTGAAATCAAGGACGGCCTGCCAAACTGGGTCAAGAGATCCTTCTAGAAGCTTCCTTCTGTGACGGTGATATGTAGTAGTGTACCTTGCGTTACTGTCGTCGGCCAACCCTTGTTTATCCCGTACAAAACGAATTATCAGGGCTGGCCAAATCTTCCACGGTCACCTGCGCAGGCGACCTGAAAACTTTCAGAGGATTTACGAATAACACTGACACACTTCAGCTGTGATAAGACCTCAGCGGACGGTTAAATTGGCCCAAAGAATGGATGATTTCAATTAAAATAGCGCATTGCGCATGCAACCTCACCAGATACTAGCTTGCTAGGCTACTAGCTTACTAGTTTTCTAGCCGGTCCAAAGCCCGGGTAAAGAGGGAGGGTTGGGGCGTGGTGCTAGCAACTCCACCCCTGTAAAAAAACCAAATCGCTACAGAAACTTCAACGAATAAATATATTAAAAATTCTAAAAACATAAGCAATAGCCTTACTTTTCGCTGGAATCGGGGAAGTGAAATGACGCAGGCTGGTGAAAGCCTTCGGGAAGCCAGTCAGCCGATGTGCCTTCTTTCGATGAAAGCAAAAGTAAGGATGGGTACCTGGAATGTTCGTACAATGTACGAAACTGGAAAGGCTGCCCAGATAGCCGCTGAAATGAGAAGGTACAGAATAGAAGTGTTGGGAATCTGCGAGAGCAGATGGAACGGAACTGGAAGGTGCCAACTACCTACTGGAGAGACAGTAATCTATTCCGGCCACCCAGAGGACAACCATGAGCACACCGAGGGAGTGGCCATCATGATGTCACCAACAGCAACCAAAGCTCTCATGCAGTGGGAACCAATCTCCTCCAGGATAATGACAGCCAGGTTCAACTCAAAAGGAAGGAAAGTTACAGTCATTCAATGTTATGCGCCTACAAACGTCTCAGAACAAGAGAAGAAGGAGGCGTTCTACAGACAACTACAAGCAATAATGGACAACGTCCCAAATGGCGATATCAAAATCCTGATGGGCGACATGAATGCGAAGCTGGGACGAGACAACACAGGAAGAGAACTCACCATGGGTCGTGAGGCCCTCGGCGAAATGAACGACAATGGTGAACTCTTCTCAGACTTCTGCGCCTTCAATGATTTGGTGATTGGTGGTAGTGTGTTCAAACACAAGGATATACACAAGACGACATGGATTTCACCAGATGGAAACACCAAGAACCAAATAGACTTCATCTCAATTTCAAGAAAGTGGAGACGGAGCCTACTGGACACAAGGTCAAGGAGAGGAGATGTGGGTTCAGACCACTATCTAGTAGAAGGGACTTTCAAGGTGAAACTAAAAGCCTCGAGGATAGCTGGGGATAGGCCACAATGCAAGTTCAACACTCAATTACTGAAGGACACAACCACAAAAGACACTTTCACTGCAACTGTCAGAGCAAAGCAGGAAACACTACGCGACATCACTGAAGAATCATGCGTGGAAGAACATTGGAAGTCTCTGAAGGCGATTCTCAACGAAACGTGTTCAACGGTTCTAGGAAGAAAGAAGAGACAAGACAAGGAATGGCTCTCAACGGACACTTGGAAATTAATAGAAGAGAGGAGAATGGTGAAAGAGAAAATGATTCAATGCAAGGACGGACAGGAGAAGGAGACGCTGAGCTCAACTTACAAAGCACTGGACAAAGAAGTGAAGAAGAGTGCTAGGAAGGACAAAAGACGATTCTACGACAACCTGGCCACTGAAGCTGAGAAGGCAGCAGGCAAAAGGGACCTGAGGACACTATATCAGATAACCAAATCTCTATCCGGGAAGAGATCAACACAAGCGAAACCTATAAAAGACAGCCAAGGGAACCCAATTACCAAGGAAGAAAAACAGAATGGGCGGATCACTTCAAAGGACTCTTGAACCGACCATCACCTGCAACCCGTCCAGAAATACCAACAACAGCGCGCACACAACTGCAAGTTGACACCAATCCTCCAACGAGAGCTGAAGTCTTGAACGCAATCAAGCTTCTGAAAGCTGGAAAAGCAGCCGGACCAGATGGAATACCCCCTGAAGCACTGAAAGCGACCCAGAGACTACAGCAGACATGCTGACTCCATTATTGCAAAAGGTCTGGAAGGAGGGAAAGGTGCCTACTGACTGGAGGAAAGGTTACCTCGTGAAACTACCAAAGAAGGGCGACTTAGGACTCTGCAAGAACTGGCGAGGAATCATGCTCCTATCGACGCCAAGTAAAATCCTGAGTCGCATCATCCTGGAGAGATTAAAGGACGCACTGGAGACAGAACTCCGACCAGAACAAGCTGGATTCAGGAAAGGCAAATCATGTACTGACCAAATTGCAACTCTACGCATCATCATCACAGAACAAAGCATGGAATGGCAATCAAACCTCTACCTCAACTTTATAGACTTTGAGAAGGCCTTCGACAGCGTTGACCGTGAAGTAATTTGGAAATTACTCGAGTACTATGGCGTACCCCAAATATTCATCAACCTTATTCAACAGCTGTACGACAACGGCACATGTCAAGTGATCCACAACGGAAAACTCAGCGAGGCGTTTGGAGTAAACACAGGAGTCAGACAAGGGTGCTTACTATCACCAATGATATTCCTAATTGTGGTGGATGACTGGATTATGCGTCAGACAGTGGGAAACGAGAAGACAGGAATATCCTGGACCGACGTGAAGAACCTAGAAGACCTGGATTTCGCGGATGATTTATGTTTGATGTCACACACAATCGAAGACTTACAAGCGAAAACCGACAAACTGGTCGAAGAAGCAGCAGTGAAGACAGGACTCCAGGTAAACATAGACAAGACGGAGGTTATGAAAATAACCACCAACAACAACAACAGCAACAACATCCAACGTCAATCACCATCAACGGGAGGGATTTGAAAGAGGTTACTTCATTCACTTTATCTAGGGAGCATTGTCTCAACTACAGCAGTCGGAACGGACGAGGATGTCAAATCGAGCGAGAATCGGGAAGGCGAGAAACACATTCATCAACCTGAAATCAATCTGGAAATCTTCGTCACTCAGCCAGCATTAACAACAAAATTCGGTCGGATTTTCAATACAAACATCGAGTCAGTTCTTCTATACGGATCAGAAACTTGGCGGCGGGTCACAAAGAATATTTCCAAAAGGTTGCAGACCTTTATTAACAACTGTCTTCGCTCTATACTGAAGATCAGATGGCCGGAAAGAATCACCAACAAGGAATTATGGGAACAAACAAAGCAAGAACCAATCGCCCAACAAATATGCAGGAGAAAGTGGAGATGGATCGGACACTCGCTGAGGAGACCACTGGGCGACATCGCGCATCAGGCCATTGCTCGAGTGGAACCCGAAAGGGAAGCGGAGTGTGGGACGTCCAAGGGTGACATGGAGGAGATCGTGTGAAGATGAGTTGAAAGGATATGGACTAACATGGATGCAGGCGGAAAGTATAACAGAAGACAGAAGCAAATGGAGACGTGCAGTTGAAGCCCTATGTTCCACCAGGAACTCAAGGGAGCAGTGATAATAATAATTGCGCATGCGATGTCAGACCATTTGATTTAGACAGAATGCCGTTCCCATATGATATGATTTATACTAACGCGAGATCTAATACCCACAACATCTACAGTATCCTTTCTGCGTAGAAAATCGGCATAGCAAAACACGAAAACTGATCGTCCGAATTACGACCTACATTTCTAGACCAAATTCGTAGCGTGAGGATGATTGCTAGGGATCGTTCGCGAAGGAAAGAACGTAACATGGCGCACCAATCGGTATAGATGCTTGACCGTGAGTCTTCAGCTGAATAAGTCGACTTGAACAGTGAGGGTCAGCATCCAATTTTCAGTGACGAATGCTGTGGCTAATAATTTTGGCGAATTACCCACTTCTACAGGCAAAGAAATTAGGCCTTTTCACGCTTAGCTACTGTCGGCTTAGAGGATACTTAATTACTGCCTGTAAGATTACAAATGACCAGAATCACCAAAAAAGCTATTCTGCCATTAGATGCATATGGTCTTCCTCATCGGAATCGACGATTGAGAGCTCTCCCGTTTCTTTTCACTTAGAGTTTACCGTCCATGGAACTCTTTATCGGCAGATGCAGGTACTGCACCAACATTGGTCAGTTTTAAGTAAAGATTTGGAAACCCTACAGACATATAAGGACTGCATTCAGACGACCTATCCCTCTAAAACTCACACAGATATTGGATATACTCCTAAAGACGCCTTTTTGATTCTTTACATTCTTACTTGTCTTACTATCCCGACTACTCCAACAATTACATCCCTTACACTGTTATTATTCGTATGTGCATATGTACCACATATATCTATCAATTTCAGGTGTCATTAGCTGCTTGTTTTGACTCTCTTCCTTTCTTTTTCTTTTAAAACTACATAATCTAAGCCAATTATCAATTACTACTGTTATTGTTATCTCTTTCGACCACACCAGAGGATTTAAGGGTAAAAGGACCAACTCCATTCACAGTAGCAGCGCGGTGTGAACACCGCATACGACAAACTACACACGGTTCATCCCAGCACCATCCCAACTGCAGCTACGACTGTCGAGTGGTTCACCGAACTACGCAGAAAATTGGCACAGATAAAGAACATTTGCTTCAGAAACAATAATGATCAAAAAGAAATTAAATTGATTCAAACTGGCTCAGAGAAATGATACTGGATATGGGAAAGCACAGATTTTGCGGCAAACTGAAAATTTGGCGCAACATTTCTGATTTTTTGTTTTCCCATTAAAGAACCTACACAATGAGTCCTGTTGTAAGGAAAGCAACGCATGCTGGCAGTTGGTATTCAGCGGACCGTACGTACAATTTAATGTTTTCTATTTTGATGGTTCTTAGGGGAAAAACTTAATTCCCAGCTTCAGAAATGGCTGTCTGATGTCACGATAAATCGGCATTCCGCCCGCGCAATTATTTCACCGTGTGTTAATAATTTCTTATGGAATATAGCTTTGTAGTCACGCTGGATATGATTACTCTGGACCTTGTGCTGCGTTCTCTTTCAAACAAATTGATCCTCGTCATATGTATGTTCCAGATATACTGATCATTTGTGCAGCAAAAGAGTTTTTGTTCTGGGTCCTGCACATTATATGAGCCTTAGAAATAAATGTGCTCTTTCTACTGCGGATCTTTTCGAGACACCGTTTTATTCCATCCCTATTGACAGAAATGGTGAGTGAAATTTTACTAAATTATATAAAATCTCTTTCAGTGTTCCAAGAGCTGTCGAAGACTGGTGAATTCACTGATTTGCCTCTAAGTCGAGATGAAGAAGAACACTCGATAGAGATGCAAATGCCGTATGTAGCCAAGGTAATGGAGGGGTAAGTACTTCATCTACATTGCTCGATTATGTTGTGTTTTATTGCGTTCTTAGTCATTATTGGGATTGTGCAGCAATGGTTGAGAGATGCCTGCTTTGGGAGTGCTCATATTTTGAAAGAATAGAGGCCCAAAAAGCCTTTGACTTTGATTGTTTTGGACAATCATTAGGCGAGTTACATATGTAAGCCTTCACTACACACCATTGCGCAATAATAAACCGACCCGGTTGACTTACGAAATAAAGATATTATACAAAGTCATCAAAATGCATTCAGCGTGTAATTTGATTCCCCTAGACTGATTATGTTGTCATTGTAGGATAATGAACAGGAAATAACATGGTCTGTCTAAGTTGTAACCAGTATTTATCATGTGCTAAATCACGAATTAGAGTTATAAGTAAAGTTCGTTTGCCGTCAGACCACATAGCTTTTCTGATGTATTTTTCGGGGTACATAACCAGGCAGTTGGATTTACTAGTATTATATTGTTGCGTAAGCAGCATTCAGGTTGATTAACTTCACAGTTGGCTACTTATTTATATTTTGACTTTTAGAATGGGATTATAGACGAATACGTATAGTTTAATGTCTTGCTAGTAAAGTTTATTTTACGAAATTCACTGATATACTATTCGGCAAATCGGTGTCGTCTTCTTTTACAAAATAAATTAAGGAACATGAAAATAATAGACTAACCAATCCACAACTGACTCCTGAAGATAAGGATTCAAAAATATGTTTACTGGAAATATATTGGTTAGACACTACACGAAAGTTGCGATTGAGAGTCAAGGTTTTTGATCACTTAACATTCTTTTAGTATTAAACTCGACTGGAAAAGTTTTTTTCAGAAACACAGCAAGTATGATTTGTTAGGTGTGTATGAATCGATTGCATAGGGGCTGAACTTATGCATAAATTACATATAGATTGTACCACAGTTTTTTCGTTCGTCCGAAAAACTTTTGTATGGGTGGTTTTTTTCTAGCTATCAGGGCCGATACACCGTCGTGCCGATTTTAGTAGGATACCTAACTCCTGACAGAGAAGCAGTGTATGGTCAAATCTTCTCACAATATCTTTCAGACCCAGAGAACTTCTTCGTGATCTCGTCAGACTTTTGTCACTGGGGTATGTTTTGTTTCATTTTTTCCTCTTATTGTATTATAGTGCTTAATAGTCATAATGGCATACTCTGTCATGTTCGTCAAATGTATTTTTAAGTATTTCTACATTGAGATGGATCTGTTTAGAAAATGATTTGGAACAACGGTAGCTGTAGCCCATTGATCTAAATGCTCGATTGCCAGCATGTGTACTGCAGACTTTAGCCCTGCTCTATCTGTTAAAGTTTGGGGAGTCACTTGTTACCACCAGCTGTCATGCATTCTGTGTGACTCATTGCCAGCTGCATGCAACTGCGAATGATTGTTAAGTAACATTTCATTCGAGGGATTCAAGATCGAACCTTAGAGGGCCCGCATAAATCTACGTAAATAGTATTAACCATTCATTAAACTATTCGTAATACGTAAGTTTAGAAGAAACCTCATTTTCATTGGTTTCCGGAGAAGCACTGAGTGTATTACCTACATACTCAGTTAATTCGTCACTACTCACCTACTGTACCTTGTTCTTCATATAGTCCTACCATAAGTTTCGTTGGTTACCCCTTCGCCAAATGAACTCAGGAAAAACTAACCTGAAGAAGTCAATCGAGTTTCAGATTGAACAAAAGCACAGTGAATAATTCTCTGCTCTTAGTAAGATTCTGGTAGAAAGATGTTTGAACCAGCATCCAATACATGCCATATATTCTGATCCTAGATTGGCACTTGACCCCATTGATCGGTGTCAAAGCAATTTTTCGTTCTTAAGGGGTGTAAAGAAAGCATATTATAGTAATCGGGGTGTAGAAGGCTAACAGTAATAAGAGTGAATATCTTTTAAGTCTGCTCCATGTTATCCTGATGGAGGTGACGATAGTCGACCTCGACACCCCAGGAATGGGTTTGATATCAGGAAGAGGTCTCAAGCCTATTGATATCCGTTAGCATGAAGACACTGAGAGACTAATCTTCTGTAAATAAATTACTGGCCAAAATATAAACCTTACAACCATGTGTAAATATCTGACTAACGTTTGCAGCCTGCATGTATATGACTCAGTTTTGTGATTAACGCCTTATGTTGAACGTCCGTTTCGTAGCAGCTGTTACGTCAAGCAGTGAAGTTTACGTAAGGAATATATATATATATATATCTGAGTTAGACCACGGGAGATCATTAGTATAAAAGGCTCCTTGAGTTGATTTTCAGCTGGTTATATGATATGCATACCAAACTAACACCTTCCTCAACGAGCAGTTAGCTGGAGTAGAATTAACGTGGAAAATAAGTGGTCGTCGTCAGACCAGAAGGTGAACTTTTGGACTTTTTCTGTGCTAAATAGATTGACATGGGTTGTTCAGTTGAGTTCCTTAAGACGCTATAAATTACTGGTTGCAGATACTATGATATTAGTCATAGATGTTGAAAATGGTGCAAACATATTCCTTTTTTATCACCACTGAAACTAAGCATCATGGCATGGTTCCAATTTTCTCCCTACACCTTTTTTCACTGTAGCATCATTACTTCATATCTATTGCAGTCTGAACTAGTGCACTTTAATATAATGTCCTGAAAAATGATAATAATCCTTAGCATTTTCTCGTAGTTGGGATAATGGCTGCTACCTGGCTGCAGAAATGTCGACAGTGGGGTCAGGGTTCGAATCTGAAGCTCCATGGTTGCAAGTCAGGCACATAGTACAGTAAAACATAGCTTCACATGTAGAATTATATGTTGATTTGTTTATCTGAACCCTCCCCAGGCAACTAACACTTGCTTTGCAGATATGAATCAGTAGCCAATTGCATCACAGTGTGGTGCCATGCCCAACTACCTGGCTAGTTTAGTTATGCCCATGTGTCCTCGTCCACAGTAGTTCCATTACTTTCCTATTGTTTATTTGAATGTGTGCGTAAGAGTGGAAACTAACAGCGATGCATTGTTATACACAGTACTACGATTTTAGATCGGTCACATCATGCATATAAAGCCAATAAGAGTAAGATCTCATGCTGCTTTCATTTTTGTGGTAAAAAGTGAAAAGCAGACGAATACGTACAATTAGCTGCTTATAATCTTCCTTTTATATGATATTAAGAGCCGAAAATTCAATGTAAAGGAAGTTGCTGGACAGTCTACAATGAAGACTAACTTCAGAAGCAATTTTGGTAAATTTGTTTATATTCGAAACCAGATAGTATACTTTTAGTTGTATTCCCTCATAGAATTATGGTTTTAAAAGGTTTGGTAGTTTTTCAAAGAATAGTATTCACCTACACACATTAGACCCACTTACTTCCATTGTATGAGACAGAAGTAAAGCTGCATAATACTTCTAGAAATCGTCCCTAATATTGTTCACTTATATATTTTGATGTAAATGATGGCTTACTGCTTTAGAAATATAAATGCGGCCTAATTATAAATTACAAACGGTTGTGTAACTTGTTATTCATGCATTCAGCCTTTACATTTTAAGTGGGCTGATAGGTCTAGATTTGTATGTTTTTGTATAGCTGTAGTCGTCGGCTAATCACCTATTAAATACTTTTACAGGCAAGTAATGGTTATTAACTTTCATTGTAAAGTCTGTTACAATTTTGGATTTTTAAAGACGGTTTTTTGAAAAACCATTTTCAGAATATGAAACAAACAGTACTGTGCAAGATTTCTGAATTTTTCCTCGACAGATTAACATGGTGGTCTGAAGCATTCGAAACCAAAGTTAGTACTTAAACTAGTTTTCTGTCAGACCAAATATGGCAGATATTATACATCACAAAGGTAAAGGTTGAACTTAAAGGAAATGTTTCCTTCTTTATGTATTTTCCATTTTTATTTGCAGGGAAAAGATTTCAATATACATATTACGATCAATCCAAAGGAGCTATCTGGCAATCTATCCAGGCCCTTGATGAGACAGTAAGCATATTAAGCTGTATTATTTTCTCCTACTTACCGCAACACGTTTTAAACTAGACACTAAGGGATTTTTAGCTCACATGGATGTTTTGGGTGATATGTTCTCTAGGCTAAATGGTTCACTATCAAAGTTTTTGTCGTCGTCTTAGGTAACACGTCAAGCTAAGAACCTCAAGAAGAATTCTCATTCTTTCCAAATATAAAGTCTGTCCTTCCTTAAGTGGTTTTCTCCGAAGATTCTGTTTTCCTTATGTTCACTTACGTTCATAAAGATGATTTGAAGAACGCAATATTTAGTGAAGAGACGCTTCTCAACGGATTCATTGTCAACCTTTACGATCGTATATATGTGCTGATTAAGAAACCATATCCTAGGAGGAAATTAAAATAAATGATGTGAATAACTCCATTATCGATAAGATTTTATTTTGAAAAATCACACAGTGTGGATTCGATTCCACACATGTATATAAACGAAGAAAAACAGTTGTGTGAGTAACTTGATATGATTATGAGCAATAGTTTGTGCTCGAAAGGTCATCAGTTAATATAAATGTACAACATTGTGTGATTTATCAAAATAAAATCTTATCCATAATGGAGTCATACTCTACCACAGTGCCCAAGTCTTATACTTATATCAGTGGTGTGAATACTTATAGTAAAAATGTTAAATGCGATAAAATGCTTGCGATCATGACCTTAGTTCAACATCAAGCGTTAGAAACCATCTTATCAAACTTCTCATCATATTATGTTGTAGTCTTTCATTTACCAACTGATTCAATTAATTTTACACCCATTTCCAAGATCTATATCTTATGCAAACTATTTTCTCTGACATTATTTGTTTGGCCGCTTAATATTAAACTGAGATTTCAGTGCTAGGCTTCTGTAAATTCTCCAGCCTTCTTAGTGTTCCATTTTTTTCAGCAGAATTGGTGTACGTACGTGCACTGACATTAAGGAATAATTATTGTCTTTTCTGTATGATCGTAGATGACTAGTATATAAATCAACAGAGGAATTTGTACCAGTGAAAACGAGAAAAGCAAAAACAACTTCGAAGACAACCAACCGCGTTTAAATCTATCCGATAAAGTGGTTTTTTAATTTAAGGACAATTCTGTAAGCGCACTTTTGAGGTCATTGCTAAAGGTGTGGTTTTGAAACATAACGAAAAGTTCGATATTGAATTATCTAGCTCAGAGAACATAACACCGAAACACTTGCTATTGGTAGTGCTGTATTTCGCAAGACAACTTGCAATTTGATTTCCAACAGTGACGCAGAACAGAATACTTAAAGTGTAATTTTAGTGTTGACAGTTTAATCATAGGGCTGCGAATACATATGGTCAAGTACCACCGCCTTCACCGAGTATTTTGTGCAAAATTTAAAGACATGAAAACATCCCTGGTTCCCTTAAAAGCGTTTTATTTTCTGCTACACAGAATATTAAATACTCTCTGTCCTTCGTGTGACTGTTGTGGCGCGAATATGTGTTGATAATCCCCCTAATTACAGTTGTCTTCTTTACTTCCAGTTCATATTATCATTTCTGATATTCTTGTAGTAATATACTTGAAAGACTTAAAACAGTTCGTCTATTTTTTCACGAGGAACACAATTTTTCGCATTTAGTTGGTTGGACCACTTAGCAATTAATTTTCCCCATATCTAAATTCTTACTCTAAGTATTTTGTATACTGGACCTGCTGCTTTTATATTATGGGATTTCAGGGTATGCAAATAATTGAGCGACTGGCTCCTTCGGAATTCTCTAGTTACCTGGAACAATATGGTAATACTATATGTGGTCGTCACCCGATTGGCGTCTTGCTACAGACTATAACATCTTTGCGTAATAAAATGCCAAATGGTCGATTCGATTTGAAATTTATACAATACGCCCAATCAGAACATTGTAACAATATGAACCAATCTTCAGTGAGCTACGCATCTGCCGTCTTGCAAATATCTTGAAGTAATACAATTCCTCGTTTTTGTGTGCAATCGTGTAAGCACCCTGATGTTACTATCAAAATGAAAATTGGGAGTTCAGGGACAATTTATTTATTACTTTAATTTAAAACATACGTTCTGTATTCTCTTTGTATATTTAATGATTATTGAGTAACACACATGCTGCATAGCTTACAGATGAGTCTTCCATTGTTTGACAACGATTTGACTGTGTATACTGCATAACTTCAAGCTGCATATCGCCTGTCTTCTTTTGATGAAGAGACGCCACCATATGTAACAGTATGCCTATACCTCTTCTGCCGCATATTGTATTGCCATACTCTTCAAGATACTCCTTGAATCTTGTAGGTTCTAGGCTCTGTATTGCCTCTAGACCCTTTAAAAGTAATAAATAGATTTAAAACATAGCTAAACATTTGCTATGTATAGGATAAGACAATACAGTAAATACGTACCAAGTGATCGAGTTTCATGATGGATTGCCATATTTCTCCGTCGAATTCCTTGTAATATTGATATCGAAAGCGTTTTCCTGAAAATGAAACAAGAATGTCAACTTAAAAAAAATATAACTTGCACGATATTACTGTTCAGTCACAAGTTAATCGTTCGGAATTTTATTAAATTTGCTTCATAAATAGTGGCATATTACACATAAATCATAGCGAAGTAAGTAGTATGAAAAGTAATATCGTAAAACTATCATAAGGCGAGCTGTTAAAAGGGAAATTTCGCGTTTATAAGCTACATGCAGGTTTAGGAAATAATCCTAATAGGGACATTCTTAGAACTAACGCTAGTGCATAATTATTAGTACATGTCGTTCTTTTCCGTCATTCTCCTGCGTAAAGCATCAATTTCTGCTTGGCTACGTAACAAGATTGAGTTTTGACAACACTTTCACAACTAGCTTGTATTCATACACTGCAAACCGCTTGCCTTTAAGACTTAATGTGTTGTACATGTGGCTAAAGAAATTTCCGCGAGACTATTAGGATTTGGGATGATTGTGCACTTTTAAGATATTTAAACGATAATTTGCTATCTTTGAAAAAATGTTTTGATCCATACATAGCAGAATGCTAGCGCAGGAATACTATAAAGTTTCTGCAGCAAGCGTCGTTCATTTAAACAAAGCAAAAGAATTTGCAAGCCACTTTTTCTTAGATTATGTCATTCATGTTTCCATCACTTTTATTTGTTGAACGTTTAAATTCTACCTTTTCTCATTGGTGTCTATCAACAATGCTGCATAGGAAGTCAAACATTCTAATCTTTCCATCATCTACTCTCGACCTATATGTTCAAATATATCATATAATTGACTCGACTGTTTATACATTTAAATGAATGTAACAGAGTAGAAACAAGACAAAAAATTACATATTTCTTTGGGCTGTACTGAGTGGATTTACAGTAAAACCTTATTCCATCAAGTGTATTAGTTTTATAATAACGGAGATGAATTCCTTTTTAGAAGCAAAGGAATATCCTGCAGATGTATCTTCTCTGAATGCACAGCGAATATATTAATATACATCTACATCTCCTTGCATCAAGAGTCATGAGCATGTTTCGGACTAGTTTCAGTGGGTTGACAATGCAAGAAGTAAACGCCTTTCCTATGTGTGAATACTGACATATTTTCAATTTACAATCTCCGGATTCATGTGGCATATAAATATTCCGTAGGTGTTACGAGTTTCACAGACTAGTTTGGGTGAGAGGCATAAATTCAGCATTTATGCTGGAGATATTATTCAAGACCAACACATTTATGATCAAATAATACACTAAGTAGAATTCTACTTTACATCGTCTTTCCCGTCCCACTACACCAATGTTCAGTTCATAAAGATCCAGTTAAAAAGAAACTCATAAATTATTGAGTGCCTAGTACATGGCAGTCACTATCTCAGCTTAAGGAATATTCTGAGTCTGTCGGCTACTATCCGTAGTTAAAAGATAATACCCTAAACGTAAAAATAATGTGGAAACATTTTAAGGTAGAACTCACCCCAATGACAAAAATCCGAAGATATTACAAAGAGGTTTTTTTCGTCCTCAAGGTAATGTGATAGCAGGTTTCCGAAAAATTCTTGCTTTTTAAACGACAAACCACCAACAATTATAGGAACTATAGCATACTGATTCTTCCGGCTTGAAAACAAAGGTTGGAATGGAAATCATGCATTTCAGATTTAAATTTCATCAATGTTCAAATAAACGTGCTAAATGTATCGTAGCACAAGCACGCTATAGACAGAATTTACAAACTGACATTTTAAAAGTGTTTTTTAAACTGGAATTCTAGGAGTGCAGTACACAATGGAAATTACACTTGCCTATTTAGCTTTTAACCACTGTGTCGCACTCATTTTCACTTTCTATTTAAATGTTTACTCATGTACCACTTCAAAAATTTAATTTACTAGAGCTTCGAAACTGGTGTTACTGGATGTTGGGGTTCGAAGATGTTTTAGGCGACACAGATCGAAGTGCGTGCGTTTGCGTTGCAACCTCGAAACCCCTGAAGATAGGTCAGAGTATGAATCTATATTAAAATATTTAAAGTCAACTACGGTTATAGAATTCTTTTGAGTTACGTATCTAAGTACAGGCAAGTCCGACGACATTGGCAGGCCAAAACGCATCACACTCTCTATTGCGATGAGTACGCTTTGCAGCTACTCGCGAAATTCAATAGAAAAGAGGCCTACGTTTTTTTGCTTATGTTTAAGCAAATAAAAAAATTTAAGAAAAGTGCAAAACTGGAGACTCTATTTTTAGCATGCCGCAAGCTACTGGTAACACAACTTCCTACATCCTTATTTATTGAACCTAATATATCTAAAGCGAGTGATGTGTTAGCCAACGAAAATTTTAAGTCCTGAGGTATAGGATATATCAAATGATTGATTACGGAAATAAAGACAGTTAAGTGAGCAACAAATGTTTAGTCAATAGTAAATATGAGGGTTGAAAGTAACCACGGAATTCCAGATTTGTTGATTTGTACAAATTACCACATACTCAGTAAGTTAATGATTAAGAAGGATAGATAAACGAGTTGCATAAGAATACCAACATACAGATAGGTACGAATTAGCCAAAATACTATTCATAATAAAATTCTAAAAAGCGGAATAACAGAGTCACGTGACAGTTACAAGGGTAGGTGAAAATCAATCGCAAGGTTACACGTCTGTACTCAGTAATATTCTGATCTGCGAAGCGAAAAGCTAGTCAAATTTTTGTATAAACATGTTTTTAAGCACCAAACGAAAAGTGCCTATAGTCAAGGAAAAATTGTTATTCCTCAGGCTGCAATTCACGGGAGATTTTATCAGTAAAACTGAGAGACTTCAAAAAGACTTTGAATGCAGCTAAGGCACGTTATTTATCCACCAGTCAATGAATTCTTAGTTCCCGAAACAAAGACGAACAGCCTGAATTCACCTCTTCCATGTATTTACCGGTTTAGCTGCCCGTGTAATGTCAACTAAACTGAGCGTAGGACTAAGCAAAGGCATCGTTGAATTTCAGAAAACCAATTATGTTGGTCAGACAAAGGACCGGGTAAGGCGATAAGTACCTCTACAATAGCTCACGCTGTCGACACACGATAACAAACCTAAATTGGCACAGCTTTTGAAATTATCTATCGTGTTCTACTTGGCTGTCATGTTGTGCAAATCCAACTTTTGCATGCAACCGAGGCGGCTGAAATTTGTGTGAATAAGTCAAATGTGTTCAAAAGGGATTTCTACGTCCACTTTTGCTGTAGTCGTCCTAATAATACGCATAGTCCTACAAATGATTTTCACCTATCACTTGACGCTGTTATTCCACTTTCCAAGATTTTATTATGATTACTATTTTGGCTAATTCGTACCTATCTGTATGTTGGTATTCTCAGGCAGCTCATTTATCTATCCTTCTTAATCATTATCTTACGAGTTACTGAGTAGATGGTATCTTGTACAAATCTACTGATCTTGAGTTCCATGGTTATTTTCAACTCTCATATAGCGTCGGATTGATATTTACTATTGACTAAACATTTGTTGCTAACTTGAGTGTCTTTATTTCCGTGATCAATCATTTAACCTATCTTATATCTCAGGATTTGAAATTCCACTTCACTTGTATCGCCATATAGCTGATAGAATTATATGTAAGACTATATTGATAGGAGCAGCTGTTGAGAAATACATTTCTCCGCTGAATTGATTTTTTATAGGTTTGCAAATAGGGATTTCTAAAAGATTAAAGTGAAACAAATACAATAAGATGTTGAGATCTTGCACAAAAATAAAAGTATTATATTGAAAAATACCTTTTCATGACATGAGCAATATAAGGCAACTGCATTTCTATTGAATGTTCAGCTTCATCTTGGCTCTTGGTAATAACTCCGAAGCAATTTTGACGTTTAAGATCATTGTATACTTCGGAAATGTCGGTCAAAAAACTACTCAACTTACTATCGTGATCAATTTTTAGATTATAAAATGGGGTCTCGTATTCAGACACACTTGTTAGTGCGCACGTATCACCGATAGCCAAATGATGTGACGGACCTATGATAAAAACACGTTCTCTTTAAAAAAAATAATATAATCCGAGTTTTGCCTACATATTTTCAGCATTTATTTGCCGATATGCATGAGCTGCGCACGAGCCAGAATGTCGATAACCTGCATGACTTTATGTTATAAGTAAAGTAACTGAACATACGGCACTATAAGCGCCCGGACAGTTTTACGATCTGAGATATTATTTTCACAGCTTTCTAGCCAATTGCTCAACTGTGATGAGAGCTGTTTACCTGATCAAAGTTAAGGAATGCCCAAACTCGCTTAACTATCTGATGAATACCAGCTTCCAGCATGCGATGTAATCCGAACAGAATCCCGTGACATCTGGTACTGAATGAGGAGTCACTTGTAATCTCCAGCTATCCGTATACAACAGAAATAAACCTAAACCCAAGTAAAAAAACAGGTGAATTTGTCGAACTTGGTAGTAATTATTAAAACTGGTGGATCAACATAAAACAACAGATGAATGTAGCTTACCACTACAAATCAAACAATGAACTGTAAATTTTTTCGACTGTCAAGCTGTAATAAGTCTCTGGACTAATTATTTTCTACAATTTCAGAGTGGCATATGTCGGATGAAACACTCATGTTAGGTTAAACAATCCAAAAGGAATTAGGACTAAATTGAAATGAAGCCCAAAGCGACCATATGAAATGTGAAACTAATACGGGATGAAATATCCACAGGGATGTAGTGTACGTGTATGGGGACATGCGCTTAGTGGCCCACTCCAAACACCTATAGTGTTGGAGGGTCTACACTTTAGTTCCATACATGTAACTTAAGAACCGTTCGGAATGACAAGAGAATATGCATACTGTCACCGCCTCACCTCATAATTTAATACAACTAGCAAGTTTACATATGCATATCTTTAAGGACATGAATTTCCCAGACTTACTATAATGCCGAATAGAATCTCGCTAACTCTGAACTAACTAACTGACATTCTGTAATGAGTAAATTCTGAAATTGTTCCTAAATGGTTTCATTATGCACACAGATAAGAACTCAGTGTTGGTTTTCAATATGGCTGGCAGTAACTCAGCACCCTATGCTTTTCTAGGCATTTTCTTAGGTAGCTCAGAACCTGCTGGTTTTGCCAACCAACGTTGTTTCAGCCCAGATTCAGCACTGACTGACATTGCTTCAAAATAAAAAGACTGAATTCAGGACAAAGCGTCCAACTTCTTCCCCCAATTTTAACACGTTTTTCCCCGTATTTGTCTGATTGGGTAGTTTAGAAGTAATGCAAGCTTGGGTTAGTCAAAAAATTACTCAGTGTGATATTCGGTAAGAGCAAGCAATAAACACCTAAGTTAAATGACCTTGATTTGACCAATCAGATAGCTCAGTATTTCAAATGATTCCTAGTCATATTCCTCACCAGCTAGCATTTTTTCCGGGCGCATTGCAGACTTTTTGGGGCAAAAGCTTCGGGCAGATCTACTTACGTGGGACAGTGTCCCGAATTCTGTCCCAGTCTGCAATGCGCCCGAAAAAAACGCTAGCTGGGCTCTTTGGAAGTATCTCCTAGATTTGGTTCTTGACTTCTCTGTAGATAATGTGTTGATAAGGAGGAATAAAACATGCATGTATGGAGGGAAAATGACTCTGAAAAAGGAATCGCCGGGCTATTGTTGGTTATAAATTCGGATGCAACCACTTTATATTAGGAAGTCTGTATAAGTTGGTAAGTCGTACATAAGTGGTGATCTTTTAGACACTTTCTTCTCGAAATTAAAGCCTTCCCTTAGTAGTATATTGCATATATGCAACCAGTATCTGCTACAGCTGGAGGAAAAGAGAATACATTGGTTTGATATGACTATAACCACATGTATGAGAATCTGGGACCAGTTTTTGCCCATATTAGAGATATAGCCTATATGATTCATCTTTATTACATCAATCGTAGATACACTTATTTGTAAATTAAGTACCACTTTTCACCTACAAGAATCTGACTGGCTGTTTTCATGAAAACAACCAGACCTTGCAAGGTAGTCTGAATTTGCTGTCTATTTTTTACTGTTGCCTGGTATTTTAAACCCTCCCCCCTGAATAAGAGTAATTAAATTACGTTATTGATGTTACTGAGCTTCACCTTTATGCGTATGCAAATAAATCAGGGAGATACAGCACAAATAATGTGCAGACTGCCCCTCGACGATAGAGGATAGCGGCACAAATGGCTTATGGAGAGGCTGAGCACTTGAAGGTCACTTACGCACACCGTGATTGGTAGATTTTCCTTTGCGTAAACATTGCGGCTAATACGTGCCGTACGTTACTGAGGCGGGCTTTGAAATAGCAATAATAAAAGCGGATAAACGTTATATTTTTGAGCTTAAGGGAACAAGTTAACATGCTTATAAATTTCACAGATGTGAGAAGCATTAGATCCAGTAGCAAGGAGAATACTACTGGGTAACTTAATCAAAGAAATATAAAGTTTGGAGATTTTATGTCTTTCAGTTAATTGTAACGGATGGGTAAGAGTCACTTGTATAATATTTGCTTTTTAAAGAAGAAAAAGTGTGACAGGTGATTTGGAAGTTACATGGGTGACTCTAAAGAATAGCGGCCCAAACCGAAACGACCTTCGAACAAAAAAGTGACCTTGAGCAAGGAATCAGCTGACTGTATCATTTTCGGAAGTAATCATGGATGTTTTCGATTACTGTTTGGATAACGGACTCATAGCTTTGTCGAAAATTTGCCAGTGCGGAGGAGTTATGTATATACAAATATAAGCAGAGGCCATCGATGGCTTTGTATACAGATGTATTGAGTGCCGAAGGAGGAAATCGTTTCGAGATGGTTTGTCGTTGTTTTTTAGTTTACAGATCCCTTAGGAACTTTTTTCTCTAGGTCTAAACTACCGTTAACGAAAATCTTAATGATATGTAACTTCTGGGTCCTCAAAAGACCAGTTACAGCTACGGCTTACGAAACAGAAAATTCAGAGGTGTCAGCAGTGCAGTGGTACAATTACTGCAGAGATGTTTCCTCGTGGAAAATGAACAGTCTGACTCAAGTTCTTGGAGGAGTCGGTGTAATCGTACATATTGATGAAACTGTATTGATAAAAAGGAAATGTAACCGGGGGAGATTACAATCCAACCAGCAGTGGATATTGGGTATATACGACACAACACTACGAAAAGGGTATATAGAGGCGATTCCAAATCGCAGTGCAGGTGTATTATTGCCTATTATTCAGCGTTTGGTGCTGCCTGGGACGACTATTCACACAGATGAATGGAGTGCCTACCGTCAATTATCAAATCATGGGTATATTCATCATGCCGTCAATCACACGGAGGGTTTCAGGAATCCTGTGGATGGAACGCACACTAATTCCATCGAAAGTTTATGGAGTCGTCTGAAAAGACGGATAAGAGCTGTTAATGGATCAAGAAATCCAATGATTTACAGTTATCTAGATGAATTTATGTATAGAAACTGGTTTAATATGACAATGAAGACTCCTATGAGAAACTGGGAGGTTTTTTTGCAATATATACGCGAACGTTATCCTTTGTAACTATTTATTATGACTGCATTACTTATATATAAACCGTTTTTTACAATTATGCGCCTTTCATTTTGAGCCTTCTCATTGGTCGAAGTTGTCCCTGTCAAGGTCATTTTTGCGTTGAAAGGTCGTTTCGGTTTGGGCCGCTATTCTTTAGAGTCACCGTTACATGATTCCTGAAATCTATCGTGGAATATATGGACGACTAATCTGTAGAATTTCACCAACTCTGTGGTTGTTCTTTGTCTTGTTCACATATTCACTGTGGCTAAGATTAGGAATTGTTCACCAAAGGTAAGATTAATTTACTCGATATGTATACATCCTTAGATATTTCTTAATGCGGCCGAAGGCAGTCGAAGGAATATAATCTCTGCTTGAAAAGTTCACATCCAGTTTCTGCGAACGGAACTGGTGGTGACGAAAACTGCAAAGACTGGTCCAACACCACTAACAACGGAGGCAAACTGACACAGATGTTGCGGTTAGAGTGTTTGGTGGACTTTATGATGACTACGATGCAGCTATAAAAACTCTACAACTGTGATTTTTCCACTGGATTGTTATTAACTCTTTTTTGTGTATATATGTACTCTTTTATTATGAGTCTTAACGGCTTTTAATTTTCCGCCAATGAAGTGACCTAACGGCAGTAGGGCTTCTGATTGATCAGTAGTATGTTTAGGTTGAATGTGTGACTACGTCACTTTTAAATGCTTTTCTTTGTTTAGAGAGCTTTTAAACTTCTCGTCGGCAAATTTACGGAGAGCTAGACTGAGAATATGCATATGCATTCTTTTCAGAATCTGTACAATCACGTAATCCCATTTTTTTACCTAACCCAAAGCCCTGCTAAGTAGTTGTAAATCTACTTCAGTTGAAGAGAAACATTAGAGAGGATAATCCTAATCTTGACATCAAATGTATCCTTAGAAATGCACCTTATCAACAAACTCATCGGTTCTAGCGTTCGCTCTTCCTGTATAACAGTTGTACAACTGGGCCGTTGCGTAATCGCGGTATTCGTAAGCGTTATGTAGTGCCCCAGCCTAACCCTGCTTGAAACAATAATTCTGTTGTTTACTGTCAAACGGTTCTACTTCTTTTATGTCGCTGCTGTCATTATCGCGGTACGTTCAACGTTTGCGTTACATTTTTACGTGATTCGTTACATAAAATTTATCTTGTTGTAGTACTTGCACAAGTACTATACTACCTCCATACTTGTAACCACTAACTTCCATTTCTAATAGTTATGGTTAGTCAAAGTAAAAAGCAACGAACCCACTCCCCTGTAAAACTGGTGTCTAATTTAACGTCCTTGATTGCTACATCAAGCAACACACCCCCTACAAACGGCTATAATGAGTCACATAACTCACTTGTATGCCGTAAGCGTCGAGCTGTAACTGAGGATAAAACTGTACTGACAGCTAGTATTAGCACTACTCCTAAAAATTCAGTACCCTCTGCTCATACAGAACCCCTCCCTTCACCTTATGTGCTTATCGAAAAACTCCAGCCATCAAGCTCTTCTTCAGTACTATCTTCAGAAATAGAACTTCTAAAGTTGTCTATAGGAGAACTTAAGGCTGAGTTAAGGGAAATAAAAAACAGTAAGTCAGTAAATGCTGGAAACATCGAAACCAATACCGAGATATCCAAATTATCAGATCAGATCAGCGATATCAGATCGCAGGTCTGTGAATTGACACCTCTAACTATCCTCATGAAAGCTGTAAACCTTAACAAGCTTGACACAGAATCGGTAACTAA